CTTGATGTTTCCTTTTTAATCATTCTGTTGTAGATGTGTTGATGTACTTGGAATCATTGTCTTGTTTCATGACCCAGTTTAAGCCAAGCTTTAGCTGTCTGACAGATGTCCTCACATTTGACTCTAGAATACAGAGGAGTTCATGGTGGACTCAATGATTGTAAGGTGCTAATGTGGCTGCAAAAAAAGCCCAAATCACGACCCCTCCACCACCGTGCTGACAGCTGGTATGAGGTGTTTGTGCTAATATGTTGTGTTTGGTTTTGTGCATTATGACCAAACATCTGCATTAACCCTTTCACGCATAGTGGTCATAACAGTGGACAGCTATTCTGTTATAGACAGTGTTGATGTTAATGTATGTTTGGGGCGTTGCACCCCGGAACCTTTAGAGGTTTTTCAGGGTTTTCTCTGTCAGAATGTTATGTGAGAAACAGTTTCCTGTTTGTGTAGCGACTAGCTGTGGTTGTTTCTAAAAGTGGTCAGTAAACATCCTAAAAGTGGCACCTGAGTTTCCGAGCATTTTATCCTGAAGTCATAACATATTCAAAGGCTGTTTTCTTGTATTTGTGTCAGTGTTGATGGTATACTTGCACATAAACTACTACATTGGACACTAATGTGTCACTCCATACCCTGCCACCCACTGGTCAGCCAGCGGACTGACTGAGTGAACATGTAAAAAACTATTTGAAAAGTACATGCTTAAAAAAATGAAGTTCAAAAATCTTTTTTCATGCCTAAAGATGAATAAAAATACTTAAGAAAAAAAATCCTGATTTAGGTTGTCATAATTCATGCATGACAGGGTTAAGTTTTGATCGGCTTTCACACACCAGAGTGAAACAAGGGTTAAACAGATGAATGTTTGTTTCTGTTGACATCAAAAACTTGTCTCAGTTGTAACAAAATAGTTTCATCTTTCAACATCCACGAAGGGACTGGTTTTGGACATTAGCTTTGGTTATACACTCAACAAAAATATAAACGCAACACCTTTGTTACTGCTCCCATTCCCCATGGGATGGACGTAGAGACCTGAAATTCATTCCAGATACACAATATAACCATCCCTCCCAAACAGTGGTCACAAATCAGTCCAAATGTGTGGTAGTGGGCACATCTGCTATATTGAGATAATCCATCCCACCTCACAGGTGTGCCACATCAGGATGCTGATCTGACATCATGAGTAGTGCACAGGTGTACCTCAGACTGCCCACAACAAAAGGCCACCCTGGAATGTGCAGTTTTGTCTCACAGCAAAATGCCACAGATGCCACAAGCAATGAGGGAGCGTGCAATTGGCATGCTGACAGCAGGAATGTCAACCAGATCTGTCGCCCGTGCATTGAATGTTCATTTCTCAACCATAAGCCGTCTCCACAGGCGTTTCAGAGAATATGGCAGCACATCCAACCGGCCTCACAACCGCAGACCTCGTGTAACCACACCAGCCCAGGACCTCCACATCCAGCAGGTTCACCTCCAAGATCGTCTGAAACCAGCCACCCAGACAGCTGCTGGAACAATTGGTTTGCACAACCAAACAATTTCTGCACAAACTGTCAGAAACCGTCTCAGGGACGCTCAACTGCATGCCCGTCGTCCTCATCGGGGTCTTGACCTGACTCCAGCTCGTCGCCGTAACAGACTTGTGTGGGCAAATGCTCACATTCGATGGCGTCTGGCACGTTGGAGAGGTGTGCGCTTCACGGATGAATCATGGTTCACATTGTTCAGGGCAGATGGCAGCTGAGAATGTCCCAGTTCTTGCATGGCCAGCATACTCACCGGACATGTCACCCATTGAGCATGTTCGGGATGTGCTTGACCGGCGTATACGACAGCGTGTACCAGTTCCCACGAATATCCAACAACCTCGCACAGCCATTGAAGTGGAGTGGACCAACATTCCACAGGCCACAATTGACAATCTGATAGACTCCATGCGACGATGTGTTGCACTGCATGAGGCAAATGGTGGTCACACCAGATACTGACCGGTTCTGGCTCCCCAGACCCCCAATAGCGCAAAAAACTGCACATTCCAGGGTGGCCTTTTGTTGTGGGCAGTCTGAGGTACACCTGTGCACTACTCATGATCTCAGATCAGCATCCTGATGTGGCACACCTGTGAGGTGGGATGGATTATCTCAATATAGCAGATGTGCCCACTACCACACATTTGGACTGATTTGTGACCACTGTTTGGGAGGGATGGTTATATTGTGTATCTGGAATGAATTTTAGGTCTCTACGTCCATCCCATGGGGAATGGGAGCAAAAACAAAAGTGTTGTGTTTATATTTTTGTTGAGTGTATATAGACACAGTCTGTGCAGCTGTGCAGCTGTCAGCGTGTTTCTATGGTTGTCCTTTACAAATTATCCATCCATGTAATTTTAAACATATTTTTTAAACATAGACATTTTAAAATATCCAGTTACCTCCCAGTTAGCATATGGCCTCTTTAAAATGAAGGGACTGCAAATAATTGCTAGAATTTCTGTGAAAGATGAAATTTGGACTGGAATTGATCCATGGACCTCTCAAATCTGTTGTTTGATCCACTGGAGCAAGTCCTGACACTCAGGTGTGAACCGATCAAACAGTAATGAATACTTTTGTACTGTTGGCAGAGTACATTAAATTATTATCATAATAATGCTATTTTACAGTTAAATACAGTTTCACTTATAATTCTGCAAATGCACAGCTTCTGTTCTAGGTCATAAGCCATTTTTAAATTGTATTTCTTTATGAATAAATGGGAGAACGGTCTTTATGAAATGCCAGGGGGCTGGAGTACATTATTCATATGATTGAATCCATCCTTAATGGATTGATTTTCCTGACAGAGATAAAGACTTGAAAGCTTTTTGAACACTTCGCAGATGCAGAGATATTAAAATTTGACTTTAAACTTTTGGTTCAGTTTTACTATGGGAAAGATTTTAAATCAAAATCAGCATCAGCCTTCACTAATACCCCTGTAAGTAATTGGAAGCAAATGACAAAACATCTGGTGCAGCTGGATGTCTCTACACTGAAAAGGCTCAACATTATGACCACAGACAGGTGAAGTGAAAAACAGTTGACTTGTTAGAAGCAGGGAAATGGACAAGTGTAAGAATCTAAGCGAAGTTGAGGATGACTTAGACGAGTGAGTCAAAACATCTCCAAAACTGTAGCTCTTGTGGGGTGTTCCTGGTCTGCAGTGGTCAGTATCTATCACAAGCGATCCAAAGGAGGAACAGCGGTGAACCACCGACAGAGTCATGGGTGGCCAAAGCTCACTGATGCTTGTGGAGAACAAAGGCTGGCCCGAGTGGTCCAATCCAACAGACGAGCCACTGTAGCTTAAACTGCTGAAAACATTAATGCTGGTTCTGACAGAATACACAGAGCATCACAGTTTGTTGCGTATGTGGCGGCATAGCTGCAGATCACTCTGGATGCCCATGCAGACCCTTGCACAGTGTCAAAAGCACCAACAGTGGGCATGTGAGCATCAGACTAGACCACCGAGGAAGGTGTTCTAGTCTGATGAATCACATTTTCTTTTACATCATGTGGATTGCCAGGTGCATGTGAGTCATTTACCTGGGGAACACCTGATACCAGGATGCACTATGCACTAGGGCAGGGCAATATGGCCAAAAATATTTATCACGGCATACATTTGAAAATTTGCGATAACAATATAACTGACGATATAATTGACGTGAGACAAAATACTTCACAACTCCACAGCTTTATTAGTGCAACAAAAAAAACCCCATCAATGTATTTTCACTTAAACAAGCAGTTGTTTTTTATGTGCACTAAAGCTATATAAAAATTTAACAGTGCAAATGCAAATTACTTGCCAAAAGGCATTTCCAGTGGAAATTGGCCGACATATCCTCAGCATAACCATGTATAATATCCACAAAACTTAAAAAGAGGTTATACACACACAATACCATAATTTTATGTTGAAACACAGTATGTATTACTCCGCGAGGCTCCCGACTACGGTAGTTGTAATGCTCCGACAATCCATCAGGCGTAACAGAGAGTTCAGACTGTAGCTTAGCAAAGTCGTACTAAAACATTTTTTGACAGATTTTTGAGCGCCGTGTACCACATAAAATCGGTTTGGTAATAACAGTAATAACGACGGCCCGCTTGCATGCTCTACCAAAAAATGTGCTTTGGTGTGTATCTAACGGACAAAAGCCAAACCAGTTCCACACCACTGGAGCTGCGACGTTTTTACAAACCAATTCTGGTTCATCTGTTTCATTCAACGATCCGCTTTCGGCCTTCTCATTCTCCGTCTCTGCCATGCTTTTTCCGCCATGTGCGTATGAAAACAAAGGCACTGCGCATGCGCGTTTTACCCATATTCTATTGCGATATTTCATTTTCTTATAACATTATACTGGTATTACCGTGAACGGTATGATATGGCCCAGCCCTACTATGCACTCCACTCAAACATCTGTGGGATGTGGTGGACACACAAGTCTGGCCCCTGAAGGGCTCACTTCACATTTTACAGGACTTAAAGGATCTATTGCTAATATCTTGGTACCAGATAGCACAGCACACCTTCAGGGGTAAAGAGGAGTCCATGCCTCGATGAGTCAGGTGGACAAATGCAATTTTAGGCAGGTGGTAATAATGTTATAACTGATTGATATATATATTGAATGGACCAAAGGTTTAGGTCCTCCTTGCTTCGATTAAGGCTCTTGATCATTCTCCTTCCACTTGTTCTGTTTATCCTGATCAAATAAAGGCATAAATAAATACTTAAAAAAGGAGCCCATAAATGAATTGCAAGTAATGTTGGTGTGCCTACATATTTGTGATCATCTCAGTTTAAATGCTCTGCAGACTGCATGTGTTACCTGGCCTTCACTGACCGTCGCTAACAAACTATATAAATGTGTGTGTGCGTGTGTGTGTGTGTGTGCGTGTGTGTGTGCGTGTGTGTGTGTGTGTTAACAGCTGTGCCAGCACCCCCGGTGAATGTATCGGTGACCCAGCTGAGGGCACACTCGGCCATGGTGACCTGGAATGTCCCTCAGGGAGACACCGTCATCGGATACGCCATCTCACAGCAGGTACAATACAGCAGCCTCGTATCATCGCTGCATGCATACACTGAGCATGCACGGCCAATGGACCATGCCTTTTCTTCTTTTTAAACTGAATGTCAAATACATCCTGATGTGCCCTCTCATTCAGCTGAAGGCCGATTAATTTTGCAGGGATCCAAATTATGAATTGAATGCCCAGAAAAGCTGGACAGGTGCCATGCTCGGGGCTAGAACAGCTTTTCAAAGATAAATTATGTGTTTCTCATGCTCATCTCGATCTCACGAGGGCTTACTTCTTTCTCTTTTGTCCTCCTGCTGCTGTCTTCTGGGATTTATTAAAATGCTGCGTCATTCATTAGCCGGGTAGGCAGTCAGCATTCGGCTCAAAGACACTTTGAGTCATGAGGGGTGGGAAAGTTTGGAAACCTCTCAGAGGAATTTGCTCATTAACATTTTACTTCTTAAGGAGCTCGTTAATGTCAAGGATGGCTACTGGTTGACGTAGGTAATAATAAAAAACCAAATCTCTTAATTACATAAGGTGCAGCCAAAAGAAGGACTTTCCAAGCATCCAATTAGCAAGAAAAACCTGATTATCGAATTAATCGATCTTTAAATATCCCCCAGGAGGAAAGATCCTGCCGTGGATTTGAGGGGGAAAAGATCGCTCACAAGTAAGACATCCACAGCTGTGCACTGGTGTGTCAGCTCAACTGTGTGAGGTTAACAAAAGTCATATGCTCTGCCTGTGTTTGGGGTAATTTATCATAAATAATTTAGTTGCACAGCTGTTGGGCCACATGCATAACGGTGTGTTAATGCAAAAATGGGCTTTAGAGATCTTCATAAGAAGTTGCAGGTATTTAATTAATTCAGGAAAAAAAAGACTCCAACAAATAGCTGAAAGCAACAGACACATTGGTAGCACGTGCTTTATTAAAGCCATGAATTCACTCATTACTGCTCTGTCTAGTATTATAGATACTATGTTCAGCTGTACTTCATACAGCTGTCTGTTTGCCTTTCAGACAGCTGACAATAGAACAATAGTGTATTTTGTCCTCTTTCTGACCCTAACATCTGGAAGAAGAAATACAGACTGCTCTCAGCTTACAGGTGTGGTCTTCTGCTGCTGTTCAGATGCTCTTCTGCATACCTTGGTTGTAATAAGTGGTTATTTGAGTTATTGTTGCCTTCCTATCAGCTCAAAGCACACTGGTCATTTTCCTCTGACATCAAAAAGGCATTTTCCCTCAGTGAACTGATGCTCACCAAATAGTTTCTCTTCTTCAGGTCACTAGTAAACACTAGAAATGGTTGTGCAGGCAAATCACAGCAGATCAGCAGTTTCTGAAATACTTAAATCATCAACAACATTACCACATTAACATAATCTTCCACATTCTGATGCTCAGTTTGGACTTCACTAGGTCGTCTTAACCATGTCCACTTGTGTAAATACATTGAGTTTCTGCCAGCTGACTGGTTAATTAGATATTTGCATTAATGAGCGGTTGAACAAAATATGATTGTTCAGAATGTATTTCTTTTTCTTCATGAATTCATCGATTCATTGCTTACATTTCATTTAATTAAAGGCTGCAGTCCTTCCACGTAGCACCTTTAAAGAACACAACTGTCACCTAAAGTACAAGAAGTTTGCGTCACCGTAAGAGACGTTTCACATTAATTCTGCTGTTACATAACAACATTTTGTCTGTCTGAGATCTCTTAAAAACCTCGGCTGCTAGCTCAGCTTGGCTCATTTTAATCAGTCTTCACCACCTACAGTTTTGGCAAAAGGAGAATGAGACATTAGCTGAGCTCTGAGTGGGTGTCGTCTCCATTAGCGGAAATTATTTGGCCAGGATTCGTCTCACAGGAGAAACATCCACAGCGGTGTCGATGCCAAACAACTCTTATTCTTTCTTTATGGGTTTTTTTCCCAAGTCACCTCACATCTGAGTCAGAATCCATCAACCTTTTGGCATTTTCAAGAAAACACAGGATCGGGATTTAAAACATCTCCTGCTTTAACCTCAGAAAGCACTTATGTAAAAAACACTTACTCAAATATTAATCGGGGAGGTGATGGTAGCAGGTGGATGCAGCGGGTATCCGTGCTGCAGGTTTTATCTACCGAGCCCGTATTTTCCATTGTTAGTCATCAAAGGTTGCCTTGGATCAGAGTGAGCTGCTACAAAAGGGCAAAAAATGCTGTTATATAAAAGGCTGCTCTGTCAATCAAGTATGTTTTCTACCATTTCTATTTTCCTTATTGCAAGAGTGGTCTCGCATCAGGCTTAAGTCTTGATTAGGATTCAAACGTGGCTGCTTTGTGGGATTATTTCATTCACAGTATTTTTCGGTGACATGCCGAGCCTTCTGTTTGTGAAGGAGAAGCAGGACGAGTGAATGTGCCCAGACAAAGAGTTGCTTCACTCATCTAAAGTTGTTCCAAATCCCACGGTGCTGGCTGCCAAGATGCACGCGTTACACAACCTCGCTCCCAAGCACACAAACACATGAAGTAACCCAGTTTAAGTTTCTGTGTCTGAGACTCCCAGCAGTCCTGGTTTCTATGACTTCAAATATCAAACACACAGGGTTAATTGATGATTAGTGCAAGGGCAATGCTTATCAAATAAAACCTGCAGAGAGTGCCTGTTTTAAACTTGTGTTGTGATGTTTGTACCAGAAGAAGATTGTCAGACTGTGACAACATCAGAGGAGAGATTTGTTTTTCTGCACCACTTTCCTTCTGAAATGCATTAGGCTGCTGCTGACTTCTTTCCTGACCTAAAAATAGCGATGCACCCAAACTTCGTGTTCACCTGCAGACTTCACGGTCACATTTTACTGAAGTAAAGGTGCCTTCTGTTCCTTTTTAAAGTGTCTGAAGCTGAACCCTGACAAATCAAACTTTAAGACTGCTGCCAAAATTAAAAGAAAGCTCAAAACCCCCTGCAAGAACAAGAAAATATTTACTTCAATTGTCAGAGAACTTCCAAGAGCACACATTAGGGTTTGTAGCAGCCAGTTGTTGATAATCAAATCCATTTGATAAACTGATCATTAGTGAGTGTGAGCACCTCTATAAAAGCAGACATTTGGGTAGTTTGCTGGTCTTCAGAAATCACAATGCCACAGTCTTTCAAGACGTAGACGTCCCAGCAAATTCACCCCAAAGTCAGACTGTGCAATGCTCAGAGAAACTGCAAAAAGAGCTACACCACACTTCATGACAGTACAATTAGAAAGAAACAGAAAAAGTATGGCTTCTTTGGAAGAGCTTCCAGGAGAAAGCCTCTTTGCTCTTAACAACCCACAAAATCCCTGGAATGAGGCTAAAGTTTGTTATTATGTTTGCTCATAATGCACAAAACCAAACGCCGCGTATCACCACAAACACCTCATACCCGCTGTCAGCATAGAGGTGGAGGCGTAATGATTTGGGCAAGTTACAGTCGTTGAGTCAATCATGAACTCCCCTGCATACCAAAGTACTCTAGAGACATCTGTTAGGCAGTTAAAGTGTGGATCAAAGTAATGACCACCTCTAAGTGCAGACCTCGACCTGATTGAAATGCTGTGGCTTGGCAAAAGAGAGCTGTGCATAAATAAATGCCCTCAAACCCTCAATGAACCGAAGCACCGCTGCATGGACAGGAGAGCAGACCCAAAGTCCTCTACGATGTGAGAGACTGATATGACATACAGAAATGTACTGTTTCAAGTTGTCGCTGATCCCAAGGTGGTTCTACAAACTACTGAATTATGCATACTTTAAAAATCCTATTTTTTCCATCCTGTAAATGGATGCAGGGATTATAAAACACTCATGAAATCAACTAAAAGCAGAGAGTCTGTCAATGTAGAACGTTTGTTTTACCTACCTTGAAAATATAAAGACTGACTCTCAGTAGGCACCTCAAACCTGCAGGCTTTACTTTCTTCTGTCATCAAACAGTATAAAACGCTCATCATCAAATGCTCTTTTGCTTGTTAGGAATTAGAAAAAATCTGTTTTCCCATGGGTATTCCTATGTGAACTACAATTAGAAAATATATATAAAGATGACCAGCTTTTTTTAAAAGCGGTTATCTATTTTGGAGCTGACCTTTGTGGCACAAAAATATAAAGGAAAAAGGGGTGGCTCAAGACTTTTGCACAGACCTTTAGATGGCTGTGACAAGTGTCCATTAGTTTTGATTTCCTGGTTTACTGTCTTACTTAAAACTGCAGAATTAAATGTGCCTATGAGATAAACTGACAAAACCTGAAAATTAGAAAGTATCTTGAGTTACGTCAGCGGCACTTTTCAAAATTAGATGGTTTTGGAGTTTTTATTCCAAAATGGTAATGCCTCCATCACAGCTGAGTCACTGGTGCTGATTAACGATCCTTTTAACCCCCGTTGATTCAGTATTTACTTTTATATGACGGCCTTTTAGATCAAAGTGTCCTGGCTGACTCGCTGCCTGCAGGGCTGCCAGAGGAGCAGCAAACACCACTTTGACTCTCCACGCGAGACATCTGGAGAGCCTCGAGCGTCCTGACAGCTTTCTATTTATTGACTCTTCCTCAGCCTTCAGTGCTCCACAGGCACGTTCGCAATCTGGGAAACTTTCTCAAACTGGACTAGCTGTCGCTAGATGATGCTTACCAAGCAGTTGTTAAAAAATCCTCATTATGAGCTGTTCTGATGCCGAGCTGGTGGTTTTTTAGAATATTTGGTGTAATTGGTGTGTAATGGGCAAGTTACACACCAATGACAATAACGAAAAGCTTGAATATATTATGAGCCATTTTCTACAATCTCAAAAACAAGAATGCAGGCTGGTGCTTTTGTGTGAACACCAATTATCTCTGAGCAGCGCTCATCAGGATGTCTGCAGTTAAAAAGAAGACAGTTAAAGGTTCCTTCATACAGAGTCTCCAATCAGAGCAATTAAAGTCTCGTGCAAGTCTCGTGTTGTCGGGAAAACTTAGCCACACAAAAACATGATTTCTTTTTTTTTTTTGTCACGCTAAACAAGATAAATACAGAATGCAGTTTTTAAATTATAATTTTGATTATTAGGAGAAGAAAAATTTACCCAAACTTACCTGGGCCTGTGTGAAAGAGTAATTGCCCCCTTAGTGTTTCTTCTTCACTTGATTTTTTTCCCCACTTGCTATGTGTTTATACACCTCTCTGCATTTAATCATTAGTTAAGTGTGCCTATGCGAAGGCACACTTATTACTATTGCTCGGATTTATTATTATTATTATTCTTTTTCCGCCTGAAATTTTGGACCTTAACTCGCCCCACAGTTTTGAGACAAGGTTCACATATGATATATCATTGTGTGCGGCTGGAGCTGGAATGAGTTGCTATGACTTTTGGTGTTTATTACTTCTATAGTTTTTTAAATATGAATATTTTAATGCAAGTTTTTGCCCATTCAAATGAATGGGAACGAACGAAAGTGAAACTTTACTTACTTTGTGGTGTGTTTGCTCACTCACTTAATTTGTGGTGTGTTGGCTCACTCTAGTGGTATGTCCCCGTATTTGGATTACCATAATGACAACAATACGAACGGCGCGCACAGCGTTGGTGCTTTCAGGAACCATTGGAATTCTTAAGGTTGCACGAAGCATTGAATAGTTACGGTAACGGCAATGGTGTACGCTTGGTGGAAAACTGCATATCCCACAATTCAAAGCACGCCTCTACCAGTCAAACAATGGCGGCTGCCACTTGGTTTAATATATTCCTCTTATTTGTGTTTCTAGGTCACAAAGTAAACTTTTAAGATATTTTCAGGTGAGAATGTAGGTGTGTAAACGTCAAATATCTGCTCGTTTTGTCAAAACATCCCATATTAGCAACAGATTTCTCACGATGTTGCTGCTAGCCGGCTAGCTAGCGCCACTTCGCTCAAAAGCACCCAGGCTTGGCTTTCAGTGAGGCGTCTCTAACTCCTTTCACCCCCGATCGCTCCGCAAACAGTCTTTGTCTTAGCTGGACTTATTTTTCGTTTATATGGGCCGATGATGCTGGTCGATGTGGAAAAAATAACTGAGTTGTTCATACCGGTGGCTAGCTAGCTCCGCGTTAGCCACCGGTATATGTCTCTTCCCCTCGTATGCGGGGAAAGAAACACCGATCGACCGGTGGTGGCTAACGCGGAGCTCAATCGTGAATAAGGGAAACCCAATGCAGGAGAAGCAGGCGGCTGGTGAACTGAATTTCAGGTAAGACGTTATTAACTGCACTCTATTTGGGTCAGATATAAACCGAGTTTAGGTGTAGTTTATTTTCGTTGTGCTGACAGTTACAATAACTGTACTGCGTGCTAGCTAGCACGACGGAGTTTCTATACAGCTGTGCGCGCTAAGTTACTGATGTTGAACTTTATGACAGCCTCCCCTATTTTCAGGCGAGAATGTAGGGGTGTAAACTTCAAATATCTGCTCGTTTTATCAAGAAGTCCCATATTTTATCAAGAAGTCCCATATCTCTCACGATGTTACTGCTAGCGCCGCATGGCAGCTAGCTGGCTAGGGCGGCTTGGCTGACACCTAGGCCGGGCTGACTGATACCCAGGCCGGCTCACGCTCACGTTTCACCGCCGCATGGCAGCTAGCCGGCTAGCTGGCTAGCGCGGCTTGGCTGCCACCCAGGTCGGGCTGGCTGACACCCAGGCTGGGCTGGCTGACACCCAGGCCCGCTCACGCTGTCGTGTTATTTTTCATTTATATGGGCTGGTGATTCAGTATGAGTGTCCGGTGAACTGAATGTCAGGTAAGACGTTATGTATATGTAAGGTAGTGACTGGAATAAGTCACAAGGTGTCGCTGTTGAGCTGCATATATGTTGTAAATTTTAGCAATTTTGACCATTTGTCCTCTGCAGGACACCGTAGTTCAGATTTCTCGTTCGCGTGGGCGCCATCTTGGTTCAGTGTTTACTGTGATGTGCAAAGGTAAGCACTGTCAGTGGCGAACTGCATTGGTTTTGTTTAAAAATAAGTGTTCCACTGTGTAAAATAGCGGTTTGTCATTTAAGCCGAGCAAATATTTTGTTTATTGAGAGGTTCATGTATTGTCTGATGAGAGTATGAGACAAAGATATACTTTTCTTTCTTACTCTCATATAAAATATTTAGCTTTTATTAAATAGTTATCTGAATCTTACAACCAAAGTTTGTATAATAATACACAAGATTGGCTGTAGACCATTGTTAATCATTCAGAACACTGTGTAAAAATAACAAAAAACAAAAAGTGAATGAAAAGTGCATAAATATTTATTTTACGTGTTTGATGTGTGTGGCAGGGCGTGGTCTGCAGTGCCGCTGCAGGGGAGGTGGACCCACCTCAGCGGCATCTGCAATCACACCTCTCAGGTGTAAAGTCTGTGCTCTCTCTGCTTTTGTTTTTTTTTTTTTTTTTTTTTTTTTTTTTTGTGTGTGTATGTGTCGGGCTATGAGATGAAAAGCTACAGCCGGCTGTGTGGGTACAGCAACTATGTGTGAAAAGTGGTCCATAACGTAATGCTTCAAAGTGTGTTCATGCAAACATTGTCGGGTCTGCTTATGAACCTCTGCGCACAGCGTCTACAAATTGGGGCTGTACGAAGTCACCTCATCTTTACACAAAACTGTAAGCTGTCATCTGTGAGGCGCGAGCGGTGTTTGGTTTTACCATAGTTCATGGTGGAGAATGGCTGCTCCGGTGAGTTTTGCTCTCTGTAGCCGTTTGAATGGCAAACTATACTGATTAGCGGCGGCATAGGCACACTTAAAATTTCTTCAGAAATTTTCGCTTTCTAGTTATTATTAATCTCTGTCTCTTCTCCACAACATGTTTTCGTCTTTTTTTTCCCCCCTTAACCCCAATTAGTTGTGACAAATGGCCTTCCCTCACTGAGCCTGGTTCATGCAGCGGTTTCTTCCTGTTAAAAGGGAGTTTTTTCATCCCCATTCTCGCCAAGCCTGTACGGGGACTGATTGTCGTGTTTTCTCTGTTTTCTTTGTATTATTGTAGGATGTCTACTTTACAATATAAAGCACATTGAGGCAACTGCTGTTGTGATTTAGCACCAAATAAATAAAACTGAATTGAATTTAAATTAATTAAATTAAATCTAATAACTAGCTGTGCCACACTTGGCCGCAAGAACTGCAATCAAGCGTTGCCACATGTGCAGTTTTATCAAGATCACCAATCTTAAAGGCTAAAATCAGGTCTCATTGTGTTGGCCTAGCAATTCCAGACACACAAACACAAATGCAAATTATGCTGGAAACTCTTAGCTTGTTTTCTGTGTCCGAGGGGGAATGAAGAACCAAAATGCATCTTAACTGCTGTTACCATGGTGCCACGTTAAGTGGAAGCCTTGTGTTTTCTGTTGTTGTTTGTTTTTTGCCATTTTCTTAATTTTACTGAACTACTAGTAAGTTTATTTACTCCATAAATATAGTGCAGATATCTGCCTGGCAGAGAATCCTCTGCAGACATTATTATTATTAACCATCCATTTTCTTCCTCTTATCAATTCAGGGTCCTGGGACTCCACCAGTCTTCATGTTCACATAACATGAAGGATTTGATTTGCAATTGTTACTTTGAATCCACGTGCACAGTGTATTTACATATTACCCTCTGAATCCACAGCTCATTTTAAAGATATGAACTGTAGAGTTTGGTGGGTAACCTTGTGAAAATGTTCTTGCCTCGATTCTCGCAGCCCCTCATGGATGTATACTGCTTTGTGTTGTCTTTCCATTAATTTTGTCTTCTTCTGCAGGCACCTTTTATCACTGGACTTTAAATAAACACGGTGAATGTGATCTTCTCAGTGCTAAAGCAGCTGAAAACTCAGATATTTCCCCAGGGAGGTGGTGGTGACCAAAAATGGAGCTAAAACTGATTAAATTGTGGACTTGAATTAAAGCATGGCTCTAAATTAATAATTATCTTTTTGTGTTTTACCTTCTGATTGCAAAAATGGAGATGATAATATGTCTGTGTTGTATTTACAATTTATAAATCCACCCATCCCCAAATTTTCACTAAATACAGCTGTTAAAAAGTAAACTTTATCTCCACGGGGTCACCATCTGTTTACCTGCTGATCCAGAAAGTGACATTTCTTCATTAATTCTGCAGCTCCTTATACTAACAGAGCATCTCTGCCTAAACATGTGTTTTCTGTTTATTTTGAATGACTATTGCTGGTGTTACCTTGCCTGCAGACCTAATTTCTCCCATTGGGGCTGTATGGGTGTGAGGTGAATTTCTATGAGGCGAAGCTGCTTGTTACTGCAGGGATTCTGCTTGCATTTCAAGTATTTGCCTTTAAATGTGACATAATGATGATTTTTTTTATTGGTAAATTAGTTTAGCAAAGTTTACTTTAAAAGAAAACAGAAAAGATTCTTCTCCTTTTAAGACAACACTATCTGCCTCGAGCAAAGTACGAGGCCATTACTGCTTTTATTAGATCATAATACTTAAGCTGTCAGCCGGATACGCTGATCAGATCCCGAGATTTGATTTAAATTTGCCGTAAGTGTGGCACATTAATGTCTTTGTGTGTGCAAAAGCATCCACCACATGTATTCCTCATGTGTGCACGTATCCTGTCTCCAGAGGCAGGACGGCCTGATGCAGCGCTCCATACGAGAGGTGAACACGTCCAGCCGCTGGTGTGTGCTGTGGGACCTGGACGAAGACACACACTACAGTGTCCAGGTGAGAGAAAAACACACACAGTGTGAAGTGTAATAGCTATTACCTATTTAATGATAGCTATGTAATAGCTAATAGCTAATTAGACTGATGTATGTATTAGTTGGATGGTATCTTTTTCTAAAAGGCAGGTGTGTAATGGTGTAACTAACCATTTTTATTGGCTATGTAACCCATAAACACTGCCATTACAAAAGGTCTTATGCAAATGTAGGCTTACAAAACACAAAATAGCAAAAGAAGAAGAAGTTGATAATTCAGAAGTATTTTGGAGCAGTTGTGAAACCCAGGAGGAGGAACGACATGCAGGACGCACCGTGAACAGGACTGAAGTGTTCAGCCCACAGCTGTACACAAGGAAACAAGAAAAAACTCTGGAAAACCAGGAATGATGGCTGGGAAGTTTGAGGAATGCAACAAGGCAATCTGGCAAATTTAAGGAGGTTTCTCACGTGATGTCTCACTGCCAGAAACCTCCAGCAACCACTTGCCAATCAGTTGGGGAATACACACTGCTCCCTAGCAACCAGTGTTTACCGAGAGGGGGTGGTCTGTGTCCTTAGGTCTGTGTGAGTGAGGCCTAAGCTTCCTCCATTTGCCTGTATTTTTTCCATATTTTCCTACAAATCACTCACTGTTACACAACTTGATAATGTGCAATGTGAACTGAAAATGGAGAAGTTTCAAAGAGAAGCCAGCGTTCTTCAAAAGAGGCAACTTTTGTTTTGAAGGCAAACCTTCTCCATTTCTGGTCTGTCACACTTTTCACAGTTTCACGGCGCCTGAGAGAGCAGGTGTTTGTAGGCAAGCCCATCACTACAATTCAAATTACGGCCACAGCAATCTGCTAGCAACAAAATCAATCACAGCAAAGTTTTTGCCAGGTAGATGGGGAATATATACATTTTCCCTTAGTTACAGATGGTTGCTGGGGGCTCACTGGCATGTCTGCCAGCTTCCACATTCTTGATATTGGAAGCTGTTTCTTTTAGGCTGTTATGATAGGAACAGTTGAAAAATGATGGAGGAAAACGGGCATTGAATGACACTTTTGCTTTAGCCAGGTGTCCAAAAATGGTGCACAAGTTAACATCATGTGGTTAGCGGTCACGTCTACAAAACCTCAAAAATTAAGAGATTGATTACTGATTGAACACAGGTATGATGAAAAAGCAGTTGAAAACAGGCAGGAAGTACGTCTGACTGAAGTGTAAGACTGGCTGAGACTTCAGAATAAAACAGGAAGTGGCTAAAGCAACAGAGAAATAGAAAAATAGAAAAAGGAAGTAGGTAGACTTGACATCAGCCAGCAGAATAAAACAGGAAACAACTAAAGAAAAACTGTCTGTGTCCTCCTAACTTTGCAAATTTTAAAAAATTGACAACAATCATGGAAGCTAAGCCAAACCATTTGGGTTAAACAATAAAGTCCTGTATTCCACAAAAGTTGCTGCAAAAGAACTTTAATGTCTTCAGATTAATGCTCTTCTCTGTGCACCTTAAATGAATGAAGTTGTGTCACAAGAGTATGTGTCTGTCCAGGTCAGGACAATCTTTTAGATGCCAGACCAAAGAATTTTCAGCATGTTGCAAAAAGGGACTCATAGTTTTGAGCCATAAGGTAAGAAAATGTTCATCATGTTTGTACAAATAGACATGAGGTCTAAATGATATATTAACAAAGCCATACATTTAGAAATAAAACTGGACGATTTGGTCTTTGTAAGTGCTTTGAAATTGAGATTTCTTACCTCTGTGTATGGAAAAAAGAGACCTATCATCATCCTTTTCTTCTTTATTTTCATTCTATGAGTCAGCTAGAGTACATTTGCATGATTCACAGTTTAAAAAACTGTGACTGGTTGTTTATAGAGCTCCTCAGTTCATCCTCTGTCTGAAACAAGTAGTTTTACCTCCTGTTCTTTAAGACCTACACCTTGAAAGCTCATTTTAGCCTGTTTCATGGCTGGCCAAGGCTGTGAGTCTTTGCTTGGCAGTTTCCAAGGCCTCAGGTATGGACAGCTTGCTGTATTTCTTAGGCACCTTATTTGTTGCACCTTTCTGCAACTCCGTTAGTTGGCTAACCTCCCTCCGTGCTACTTTGATCTTGCCCTCTAGCCTCCTTCTCCATGGAGGGTACTGCCCCTTGTCGCTGTTCAACTTGTAGCCAAGCATCTCACTGATCACTGCTGCCGTATTGTAGATCAGCTTGTTAGTGTCGGTAATTGTGGTTGTAGGTATTGCCCGTAGTGCTGCATTAACATCATCTAGCAGACCTTCTGAGGGTACAGATGCCCCAGAGACAATCCAGCACATAACAGCAGGGTGCAAGATGCTAGCAGGCAAGGCATACATGGAACGCCATAACCAAGTGGCCGGCATAGTGTACAGGAACATCTGTGCCGAGTATAACCTGGAAGTCCCGAGGTCAAAATGGGAGATGCCCCCAAGGCTGGTGGAGAATGACCGAGCTAAGATCCTGTGGGACTTCCAGATACAGACGGACAAAATGGTGGTGGCTAACCAACCGGACATAGTGGTGGTAGACAAACAGAAGAAGACGGCCGTAGTGATCGATGTAGCGGTTCCGAATGACAGCAATATCAGGAAGAAGGAACACGAGAAGCTGGAGAAATACCAAGGGCTCAGAGAAGAGCTCGAGAGGATGTGGAGGGTGAAGGTAACGGTGGTCCCCGTGGTAATCGGAGCACTAGGTGCGGTGACTCCCAAGCTAGGCGAGTGGCTCCAGCAGATCCCGGGAACAACATCGGAGATCTCTGTCCAGAAGAGCGCAGTCCTGGGAACAGCTAAGATACTGCGCAGGACCCTCAAGCTCCCAGGCCTCTGGTAGAGGACCCGAGCTTGAAGGATAAACCGCCCGCAGGGGCGTGCTGGGTGTTTTTTATATATATATATATATATATATATATATATATATATATATATATATATATATATATATATATATATATATATATAGGGGTGCATTTAGGGGTGCAACGATACACAAAATTCACGGTGTCACGGTTCGATATTTTTTGATACAAAAAAAATGTTCATGCCTTTTTAATTTGTCATTTATTGAAATTATAAATATATATTTTAACTCATAAGTACAGTTTTTAAATTTAATGTTGCTGAAACAACAAAGTACTAAAAAAAAAAATGTCTGATTGAGGAATCACTCATCTTTGGAAAAGAGAGTTTATTACAGAGAAATGGCTCTTTCCAGAATAAAAGCTATACTATACGCTTCTTCTGGGCTATATTCTCAGCAGCATATTAAACATATCAGGTCCCCATAAGGAGAATCAATTCAATTCAATTCAATTCAATTTTATTTATATAGCGCCAAATCACAACATAAGTCGCCTAAAGGCGCTTCATAGATACAGAGAAAAACCCAACAATCATATGACCCCCTATGAGCAAGCACTTTGGCAACAGTGGGAAGGAAAAACTCCCTTTTAACAGGAAGAAACCTCCGGCAGAACCAGGCTCAGGGAGGGGCGGCCATCTGCTGCGACCGGTTGGGGTGAGAGAAGGAAGACAGGATAAAGACATGCTGTGGAAGAGAGACAGAGGTTAATAACAGATATGATTCAATGCAGAGAGGTCTGTTAATACATAGTGAGTGAGAAAGGTGACTGGAAAGGAAAAACTCAATGCATCATGGGAATGCCCCGGCAGCCTACGTCTATTGCAGCATAACCAAGGGAGGATTCAGGGTCACCTGGTCCAGCCCTAACTATATGCTTTAGCAAAAAGGAAAGTTTTAAGCCTAAACTTGAAAGTAGAGATAGTGTCTGTCTCCCGAATCCAAACTGGAAGCTGGTTCCACAGAAGAGGGGCCTGAATACTGAAGGCTCTCCCTCCCATTCTACTTTCAAGTATTCTAGGAACAACAAGTAGGCCTGCAGAGCGAGAGCGAAGTGCTCTAATAGGGTGATATGGTACTACAAGGTCATTAAGATCAGATGGGGCCTGATTATTTAAGACCTTGTATGTGAGGAGCAGGATTTTGAATTCAATTCTGGATTTAACAGGAAGCCAATGAAGGGAAGCCAAAACAGGAGAAATATGCTCTCTCTTTCTAGTCCCTGTCAGGACTCTTGCTGCAGCATTTTGGATTAGCTGAAAGCTTTTCAGTGAGTTTTTTGGACATCCTGATAATAATGAATTACAGTAGTCCAGCCTGGAAGTAATAAATGCATGAACTAGTTTTTCAGCGTCACTCTGAGACAGGATATTTCTAATTTTAGAGATGTTGCGCAAATGGAAGAACGCAGTCTTACATATTTGTTTAACATGTGCATTGAAGGACATGTCCTGGTCAAAAATGACTCCAAGGTTCCTCACAGCGTTACTGGAGGCCAAGGTAATGCCATCCAGAGTAAGAATCTGGTTAGATACCATATTTCTAAGCTTTTCAGGGCCGAGTACAATAACCTCAGTTTTATCTGAATTAAGAAGCAGAAAGTTAGCGGCCATCCAGGTCTTTATGTCTTTAAGACATTCCTGCACTTTAACTAATTGCTGTGTGTTATCTGGCTTCATGGACAGATAGAGCTGGGTGTCATCTGCATAGCAGTGAAAATGTATGCTATGTCTTCTAATGATACTGCCTAAGGGAAGCATGTATAATGTAAACAGAATTGGTCCTAGCACTGAACCCTGTGGAACTTGTGAAGAGGACACTCCATTGGAGTCTATTAGATAGATATGATACAAACCACTGCAGCACAGTACCTGTAATACCTACAGCATGTTCTAATCGCTCTAATAGGATATTATGGTCGACAGTATCGAACGCTACACTGAGGTCTAGCAGGACAAGCACAGAGATGAGTCCACTGTCAGAGGCCATAAGAAGATCATTTGTAACCTTCACTAAAGCTGTTTCTGTGCTGTGATGAGCTCTGAAACCTGACTGAAACTCTTCAAATAAACCATTCCTCTGCAGATGATCTGTTAACTGTTTGACAACTACTCTTTCAAGGATT